TATCATCGAAACGATATTTTTATACTGCTCGGTGAGCATGAGAATGCCATTTCGGATTTGAAAACTGGTTGATAGATCTTCAGAAAACTAAACCAAAAACCTTTTTTTGTTGTTGTTTTTTCCTTCTCAGTTTTGGTTTTTGGATAGTTAAGACTAAAAAGTTTTCTAAAGATACAGTTCGAGTTCAGACTAGTGCTCGTCGAAATCGGGTCTAACCCGGACCCGGACCGGGCATCGGGTCCGGGTCCGGGTCTACCAAAAATTTTTTGAACGGGTCCGGGTCGGGTCCGGGTCCGAAAAATGTTTATTGGGCGGGTCCGGGTCCGGGTCCGAAAAAACGTGGACCCGGCGGGCTCTACTTCTGTGTCACCTGACACACTATTACATCGTAGATTAGAAATTTTATCATTTTTCTTTGGAGGTCGACGTAAACATGTATCACTCTTGCAATCATGTACATCTCCTGGTAGAACTTGAGCAAGAAATACTTGCTTTTTCCTATTTGGTAAAGTATAAGCATAGCCTCCACAAGAATATGGTGCATTTTTGGCAAAATGGATACCAATTCCCCACAATCCCTCTTACGAATTCTTTTAAAAATATAATTTTTCGAACCTTGAGTAGACACATCTGTTTCGTGTTTCGAAGATCTGGAGACAACAACAGCAGCGACAATAATAATAATTAGAAGCACTATAGTGACAGCTATACCAATGCAAATCAATTGTTTACATGAAAATCGTTTGGAAGATTGACGAACTCTTTTACAATAAAACGGAAAATCATCGATAAGCAGCACATAGCAATTAAGTAAAGTACTTACGATGAGCTACCCTGTCGATTTTCGTGATTGGAAACTTCTGGTATTGAGGAAGAGCTATCTTGTTGATTTCGATGATTGGAAACTTCTGGTACTGAGGGTTCAGCAGCTACTTGGTTAAGTGGCGGTAATTTGAACCTTGTTAGCTGTGGGTATTCTCCCTGAAAAGAATGAGAATTATTCACCTCAGTTTGAACATCGTGGGTGCTCACCGCAAGGAGTGGCACTTTAATTTAGTTTTAATTTTAATTTTAAAATTTAAGTTAAAGTAGGTGTCTAAATAATGTTGTTTCTCATCACCCCTAATTAATCCATTAATATTATCATTATATGTGTACTAAAAAATTATTTCTATCAAAAATAGACAAATATTAGAGAATGAGTGTGGGTGTTAATATCTTCTTGTCCCACATCTTTTCGACGACTACCGTTCCCGTTTATATGAGTTTCCATGAATGTGAGTGCTACACTCTACTTCTATCCAAGATGCTTTCTATAATATATCAAGATTTATAGAAATTACTTACAAATCCATAGATGCTACTCCCTGAAAAGCTATAAAACATGACAAGGACTGTTTCGTACACAGAGCCTAGAGAGTTACACTGACTTTTATTTGTAGTTGTGAACTATTGTAATTTTAATTTCGTTCAATATAATCTTTGTCTATTTTTAATAGAAATAACTTTTTAGTACACATAATGTTCGTGTTCACGGACTAACTAACGCTGATAAGAAACAATATTGTTTAGATATCTATTTTAATTTTAAAATTAAAGATCAAGTAAAGTGAGAGTGCCATCTGTACTCACTGTAGCATGAGCGATTGGATCAATTGAACGGAGTTCCATTGTAATTGTTATTATACTGTTTCTTGAATGAATTTACTTTGTGTTTGTCCTTGAATGTAATGTATGAAATAGTCAACATGTAAATATTTCTACGAATAATTTTTTTTGTTCTCTTTTTTTCTCTCTATTTAGTGGACACCATGCAATGTGCACAATCTTTAATTTTCTTTGTGAAAAAAAATGAAAAACAGTTTTTTCCAAGTAACCTAGTGAGAGAATAAATAAAAGAATAAAAAAAAACTACACACAAAGCTATTAACGAAACAAGTAACGCTCGTCTAGTGACTCGCTCAGCTCTTTCTCGGAGAAACGGCGTGTCTTCACTACCAGTAAACTATTTAATCGAACAGTTCAAAAAAAACTAACGTCAGATTCGAGTTCCTTGATCCCAATTATCCTTCGCTTAACCCTTATAAAAAATATTCCTTTTATATCTCCACCTAATTTTTCGACTAATCAAGCAAGCAAGAAAGCAAATAATTCATTTCTGCTAGATTCTTCTCTATGAGAAAGAGAATATAAATCGGAAGAGAAACTCTGAAAGAATTTGTAAACAAATTATATATTATCATTTCATTTCGTTACGAATTTCTTATTAATTTGAAATTATTTGAATTAAACTAGAGATACTACTTTATTACGTATTTAGTGGATACAAGAAGGACTAGCCTGTATCTCATCTTAATGACAACGGGATAAATATCTAACTGTTTATATCAACTGTGCAAATGATGGTATTCAGCTTTATTGAGGAACGTGTAACGGTATTAATCAAGAATGGAATTTTAAAAGCATACTTTTAGAAGACAAACAGAACAACATTAATTTACTTCGGCAATGCGAATAAAATCAATAAAATCAAAATAATATTTCGTAGTCTCATTCTCTTGTTAGAAGAATGTCCATAAAAGATCAAAATACACACTTGAACAATCATAGAACAAAGCTGGGTGTGATTAGAAAATCATCTCACACCCTCAAGGAACAGATACAAACGCATTTGTGTATTCATTCATCGACTATCTGTTGAATTTATTATTAAAATACTCTTTACATAAGAGCGTTTGCCATTTTATATATTTTTATATAAAATCATAAATGAATAGTTATTTTTCACTGTAGCAATTTCCGTTGGCAATAGAACGAATGAAAATATCTAGTATTATTCATAATTTGTTTTTCATGTAGATTCAACTACTCAATGTGATTCCTATTAATATATTTTAAGAACTAGTTCGCCTTCTCAACATGAGGGTGGGTGAGTGTGGGTCTGGATGCAATAAAGAGCCACTCATACCAACTACTGATTCATTTGCTGTTCATTTTTTTCTTCATTCGATGGTATTGTTTGTATGGATGTGCTGGGAATCACGGCAGGTGCCTTTAAAATTGAAAAATAGAAGGCACTGGCATAGTGCATTAAGGAGAAAAAGAGTGTTTATCTCCATATTTACCGATGGCTTTATATATATGTGAAGAAAAAGGCAGAGCACCTGATATATTCTCAACGTGAAACGATGAATAAAGTACTTTTATATTTTTATCAAATAGACACAAATAGTTTTCCTTTGCTTCATAGTCATGGAAAAGGCGTCTATTTTCTACGAGATCTACTGCTAAGAAAATCTTCGCCCATACCAGCTAGAAATAAACATACTTCAGTTAAAAGTATAACACAAACTATCTCTTCTAACGTCAATCACAAACTCCTAGTTTGTTTAAACTTTGAATTCTGTCGAAACGCTGTACATGAATGTAATTTAGGTAAAGCTCAGTTCGATCATGTAGAGAGTGAAGCAGAAACGTAAAGCTGAAGAAAACGTGTCCTTCGCTAAAGCAAATCGAATGCGAGAGAATGATTTGACGATGTTAAGGGCTTATTAGATATTTGAAAATATACAACTTGTTGTTCTTATTCAATTTGATTTGGGTAGGTGCTGATAAAAATGTAATGATTTGTGAATAATAGAAAAACAAAGATTTCTCAGCTTCAATAGACGAAAATAATTTTTTTCCGTCTTGACTAAATCATTTAAAAATATTCTGAAAAGTCTTCTAGCCGTATAACATTATTAATCGAGTACTACTGCTAATAAAGAATAAAAGAAGAAGAAAACAATTTATTGAAAGGCGTTTTTTACACAAGAGAAAAACGACAGGTGTCGAGATTAATTTATCATTCCATCTGTTTCTTCTGTATATGAATAGAGTGATTATTTAAAAGCAGTAACATTTCATTATTTCCTTATTCTTCTTTTTTCTCTTTACTCAGTAAATAATCGTACCAGCAACCTTTATCGTAAGTACCAGTTTAAGAACCTACATTTTGTCCTACACCAATAGAATGGCACAACAAGTTACGTGTCAGAGCTGAGAGCATCGGACGACAACAGTATCCACTTGCAGTCATACTTGAACAGCATGCAAAAAGAAAAGATATTTGATATTAGTGTAGGATAGTTACATCTTCTGATAACATTACTGTAGCCCTTTTATGAAGATAAACAGATTTAGTGTTAGAAGGATCCGCTAGATGATGAATCTTTCTTCTAGGAAAGCGGCTCGATTAATAAATAGAGTTTCTCAATTACTACCACAAAAATGAATACAATGATGGTCGTATTGGGTGCAATTGTTCTCTTCTTGGGCTTCAACAGTTTACAATCTCATGCTCAAGTGGCAGCTGACAAGAACAACACTCGTTCAGTTTGGGTAAGAATATATAGAAAGAATTTATAAGCACATCAAGCCCCAATCTGGAAACTTGTTGTATAGTGAAGAATCCCATAGATATAGTCGGAAGCTTCTATACCGAGAGTTTCAGCACTGTCTTGGGTAGATTTGATAAGACACAGCATACCCACCCACACCCCACTCGTAAGATCTATTTAAATATTTTCTTACAGCAGCGCACGATAACCACAGAGAATCACGATGACGGTTTGGTAGCAAGATCGATGAGTAGCAATTTGGCTTTAGGCAAGGCTTCGTTCGCCTCATCAACGGACGACATAACAAACAGACCTGCTCGCATGGCCTTCGATGGCAATACCGGTACACGATGGTCGTCCGCCTACTCGAATGAACAGTGGATATATGTAGATCTGGGTTCAGTTCAGCCAATTACAAGCGTTGTACTTCAGTGGGATATTGCGTACGCACTGATGTTTCAAATTCAAACTTCCAATGACGAAACAACGTGGAACACTGTGTACTACAATTATAACGGTAACGGCGGGACTAACACCATTCCTCTGTTGACTAGTACACGATATGTGAAAATGTATGCTTGGCAGAGAGCCACTCAATGGGGCTACTCCCTATTCGAAATGGAAGTGTGGGGTTCTGCCACAAATCCACCTTCAGGGCCAATCAATGTCCTCGACTATCTCAGGAGTATTAGCGGTCGACAAACAGTCATTGGCATGCATAATCGAGAGCCTAACTCTTCGCCAGCTGTACAGACAAATGCGGTCTACAGTATCACGAATCGTTGGCCAGGACTTTGGAGTGGAGATTTTCTTTTCACTGCGGATGATGTTAACAATCGATGGACAATGATCAATGAAGCACTAAATCAGTGGAGAAGTGGTTCGATCATTAATATCATGTTGCATGTCGTCCCTCCTACTCAGTCCGAACCTGACAATTGGAATGGTGGAGTAGTTAGTCGTCTGAGCGATGCACAGTGGCACGAATTGATTACGGACGGCGGTACACTCAACAGAGCTTGGAAAATACGACTAGACAATTATGCACAGTACTTGCAGTATTTAAAAGACAGAAGTGTTCAAGTTCTATTCAGACCCTTCCATGAAATGAATCAAGGGGTTTTCTGGTGGGCCGGCAGACCAGGTTCTAGTGGCACGGCAGCCTTGTTTCGTCTAACTCGTGATTATCTGGTTAATACGAAAGGTCTTACAAATCTCATCTGGGTTTGGAATATGCAAGATCTAGATCTTAACTGGAGTGTCTACAATCCCGGAAATAACTATTGGGATATCTTCTCACTCGATGTCTATAACGGAGATGGCTTTACCACACAGAAGTACAACACAGCCATGAGCGTTGCTAGCGGCAAACCAATAGCTATCGGTGAATGTTCTACTTTACCGACCTCGTACCAACTGGCATCTCAACAGAATTGGGTTTTCGTTATGAGTTGGGCAGAACTTACGTTCAGCAGCAATACGAACGCACAAATTCAAGCTCTTTATAGCGCATCCAACGTCATAACAAAAGACGAATTGCCAAAGTTTTATTGAAAAGAATAAAAATTTACGCTCTATAATTGCAAGTTTCTTTGATTGATATATCTTTCTTAAGTGTGTGTGTGTGTGTAACGGTGTGGGTGTAAGCGGGTGTGAATGAAAAGCAAATATAACGTCTACACTCAAATCCAGTATTACAATTAGACAAGTATAAAGAAAACTAAGTTTAAATAAAGATCAGTCTATGTGCAAACACTTCTTTCATTGTTTTTTTATTATATTTCATTAAAGAGCGTTTATTATTCACCAAGTGATTTTTTTCAAAGTCCTCCCCGTTACTCAATTGCTTGTTGAAAAAGGAATCTTTATTTTGTTCTATGTTTCTAATTGAAGAGTGACGATGAACTACTTATCTACTATTTAGTGTTAAATTAAGGACAAATTCAATCACACTAACATGCGCGCATACCATGAATGAGATCATTTGATCTGTAAGTGTTTATAAGTAACAGTGTATTTTAATAAACAGTGTTATGTTAAATTGAATGGTGGTTAGCCTTTCATAATTTTCAATTTCCCCCTTTTAAACCAATTAATTATGAAAAAATATAGTTAAAAGCGAAGAAAATCGTTGACATAATATATAATTTTATAGTTGTATAATTATAATAGTTGATTCATATTTTTTTTGAATGTAATAAAATAAAATTACTATTACGTCAAGACATTTTAATAATAATGAAACTCTTTTTCTCATTGTTAGTTAGTTTTATTTATTTGATTAGATTTTCGACAAGCTCGGAAACAATAATAGAAAAATTAAAGAAAATCGATTCAAGTATTTTGAAATAATTTATCCCTGTCTAAAATATGAAATAATATGAAACAAGAATCGATAAAGGAACAGTTAAATTATCAACATCGGACGAAGTCAAAGTTTCGACTACAGCCGTAATGAATGATATGACACAAATTTTGACAAGATGCACCGATTGTAAATTCACAAGAACAGCAATGTAAATAATTGAAGCAATTATACCAACAATAAAAAAGGTTAAAAGTCCATCTAATGATTTTTTTCCATAAATTTTTCGTTGGCTACCATATCGAACACCGATAACAGCAGCTAAGCCATCGCCCCACGTTAATAGACTCATAATAAGTGAGCCAGGTATGGTTTTATAGAAGATAGTGCCACATATGACCACAACAGAGTTGAAAAAGAGTGGTCCGTATAAAAGTTCACTTTGATGTTTATTTCGTGTCATTATATCAAGAATAGGATCATGGGGTTGATGAGTCGAAGAATGATGTTGACTCTTCCAAATGAGTATACACATCCAAAGAAGATTTGGAAATATATTTAAATATTTTGAAAACTGGCCATGATCATCATAGAAATAAATAGCAAGATAAAATGTTCCAGCGCCAATATGAATCACTTTGCGTAATACTTCATTCGTAATCGATTTCTTTTTGTGCAAATGATTGAGAAGAAAAACAACAGCAAATGTAAGACTTGTAGTAACAAGCGATAGAATAGTATTTTGTACGAGAGCTGAATTCATAATCTAGAATATCAAATAATCACATAAAATCGGCGATAGAAATTTATCGCAAACGTTCTAAGAATGTGAGGTGTGGGTGTGGATGTGGTTACTTCTCTCTCGCCTATACCCACCCTTATGATCAAAAAGCCAATTTACTTGGCGAAATATTCTTACGATGATGTGTTGACACAATAAATGAGTTTACTCTGTTTTTCAGTCGTTGTACTTATATAGTCATAAATCTTTATCCTTTTCTTTTTCTTCCTATGATGAAAAGGAAAAAACCGGGAGAATGTGTCAGCTATGAATAAGCCAGACATGTCAATACATCCATTAATAATCTAAAATGCAACAGGTAGCTGGTTTTTTCTTCGCACACGCAAAGAAATAACCATTTCGATAATATCAATTTATGCATAAATGGCTTCGCTTACCTTTCTACTATCGCTATAGTAATAAATCAGATTAAGATCACTCATTTTCAGATGAAATACGCCTGTTGCAAAGAGTATGACGATACATGCTGATATGAAAATCATGCGCCGAACTATTGATAAACAATGGGGCAAAGAATTTCCTACGGAGTGGGTAAGAGTGTGGATGTGTACATTATCTCTATACCACGTCCATCCCTTGCATCTCCTTTGTGATTGTTGAAGTAAAGTACGTAATTTTTGCATATCAAGTATTGTATATTCTAGTCACAGAAGAGAAGAGTTAAAACTATCTCAAAATTCTAATTTTCTCATTACAATGTATTGACAGTTATTGTCGAGTTTCAATCTAGATCGAGTCTTTAATCTTCAACGAAAATGTATGTAAAAGCATATATTCTATGATATTTATAATATCATGTAAATCAATAAACCTCATTCTTTCTTTTTACATTTGATATGAGAAAGAAAATTTCGTCTCATCCCAATTTCCAGATACATCAATAAAATTCAAACAACAATTTGTATGCATACAATGATTTTATTATAGTGAACTCAGAAAAAATGTTTTTAAACAATTAGTATTGTATAGTATTATTTATGAGGAATATAAAAGTTGATAATATAAATGAAAGAAAATAACCGCTGAGATAAAACCATAATAGATGAGTTGATTTATTAAATTTTAAAATAAATGAAATAATTAAATGTGGTAATGTTAAAATTATAATAATCATAGGGCTAATTAAGAGATGTTTATGTTGTCTAATTTTAACTAAAAGACGTCCTCAGAAAGTACGATCTTTTTGGCAAGTTGATCGTTGATAAGTAGTTATTATAATAATAGTAATAGCTGAAATAAAATTAATTCCATGTCGCAAAGAAATAATTCGTTCTATAGCCACGCAAGTCTGAAGCCATTTGTCTATATATAATATAACTTTTAGAAGTGGTTCAACAATTCGACAATTTAAAAGAAGAATAGTTTGTAAACCACATTGTTCTAAACTCAATTGATAAGACAGAAAAAGTAACCAAAATTTTAATGCAAATAATATCATAATTATTAATGAAGTAATTGATGCAGTTAAAAGATAAAATACAATTAATGAGACTTATAAGAAATATAATCATTGTAATAATAGCACTCACTTTAACTGTTTAAACTCATAATTTAATATTTTATCTAATGTTGAACCAAGAGCTTTTGCATAAAATTGACATTCATCACCAAAAAAACATTCAGGACATATACATATTCTTATCGATGGACAAGTTGGATGATCTTGTACACATTGTGCCTCATTTGCATAATATTTTTTTTAATTTACATTCAAAATTTCTATCATGTTTAAATTCCATACAATTAGCATGATGTTCATTTGTACATAAACATATATAAGCTTCATCAATAAAACAAGTGAGATCATTATAAAAAATAACACTATGTTGAAAGAGTGTTAATTTTTGTAGTTTAACCATAGTAATTGGATTTGATTGATTTGAAATTGTAAAGAAATAACCTATCGCATAAGCTGGAATATCAATACCAATTAGAGAAACATTAAGTCTTGCTTTTAAATCTTGACACTTGTAACCAAAATATCGATCAGGACAAATACATGTATAACTACTATCAGATATAGTCATAGCAGCTGATACACATTTGCCATTATTTTTACAAGCAGCAATAGTTGGTACGGTTGGAAATTGGAAAATGAATTGCATTAATTGAGATATTCCTTAGCCATAGTTCGCATGACGTTCCATTAACTTCCGTGATTAGTTTAGTAAGACAGACCATAGTAATCCAACATTTATCTTTTAGATTACCTTTACTTCTCATAGATTCTGTCAATAATAAATGACGACCTTGAAACACTGTTTCAACAATCTGATTGAAAGATATCTGCTTATTAAATCCAAATGAATATTGACATCGAGAACCAAACCATGACTCAGTACAATTATAGAAATCCTCATTTAGTGAAGTATCTGACATACTTAAATAGAACTAATAACGCTCAGCGATATCAATCGAAACTGACCAGGATAAAAGCTGAAATGAAGTGATATTGTGTAAACGTAATTGTTCGAAACTTAATTTTTGAGAAGACAGATCAATAGAATTCTCAAGTAATCCGTCGTGATAGTTCTCTGGACGAAAACAATATGGAATGACTTTATAAATTACATCCAATAATTCTCGATAAGCTGGTTTTTCATAATAAATATGATAATTTAAACAGTCATATTGTAAAGAATTAATTTTCATTGTTTCTTTACTATCATAAATATTTAGTTGATAGTTGTCCATCAATATAAAAATATCAAGAAAACCTGAAAAACTGTTTTACCTCTTCCAATTGAATATACGTTCATTATTAAACGTTTCTATGTTAACTTGTATCAATTGTCACAGTAAACGCAAGTAAAATGATATTTATTAGATCGTTAATAAGAAAAAAAAATCTTTTTTTCCATAAAAATAACTGTAAATGGCTAATAATTGCTGTCTGTGATTGTTATACGTGATGAATGGATTTTAGAGATAGAAAATAATCAACAAGAATGAACATACGTTCAAATAATTAATAAGCGTGTGAAAAGAGAAGGTGATAGTTTCAAGGTAATATATCTATCTATATATATAAAGAAGAATGTTTGCTTGTCTGTGTGTTCTTTATGCATCCGGTCCCTGTAATAGGTAGCGACAGCAAACTTTCGATGGGAAGGCCATGAAGGAGCTGGGTGAAATTTCACCCAGATAGTCCTGTTATAGCTAACGTCACCAAACTTTCTATGGTACTTCTCTAGAGCCAATAGAATGCCGAGAAGGGGTTAGCATAACTAAAGGGGGAGGGAGGGGGCCTGGGTGAAATTTCACCCAGGTGGTTTTGTGATAGCTAACGTCACCAAACTGTCTATGGCACTTCTTTATGTACAGGAAAAGTTGAGAGGGGGTGGGTAGATGTGGCTGTGAGTGTGGGTGTGCGTCTTCATTCAAGCCACCCACACGCACACCTTCAAGATTTATAAGAGAAGGTTTTGCAACGGAAACAGTAGAAAAACGGGTGGATTTAAAGTGCTCCATAGCGTGAGTTGTTCCATTTCAGGTATATATGGCAGGATATGTTGTGGTGATAGATGAAAAACTTGAAAGACAATCCTCCTTGCATGTCCTGTTGTTTTACTGACATATGGAGTTTTCGGTCTATAAGGTTCTGAACCAAGATCGGGCACCTCCATTAGTTATAGAATAAAAACTAAAAATATAGCAGTCACACTAAATCTCAAGTGAGATTATTACATGCGTATAACTATCCCACACTTGAACCCATACTAGATACATTGTACATTTTAGTCGATTTCATATTTAAGGGACTATCGAGACTTGTATACAAAGTACCTCTAATATGCGTCTTATCAGTTAATAAATTAACAGAAAAGATTTCTAATTAAATACATTGTGTAATTGGTTAAATATTTATCTCGATGGTAAAGTTGTATGTGTAGATCTATGTCTAATCTCTACTTACATCCAAATCTGCATTAGGACATTCTTTCTTTGGAAAAACATCACAAAAATTGTTTGGAACTTTATTTGGAATTAGAATGAAATCAATTTTCAGTTTTATTAGTGAGATTTTGTCTTGAAAAAAATTCTTTTTCCATTTCTTCTACTACCAAATAATGTTTTTATTATTATTGAGTCATGAACTTTATATTCATAAAAGTAGCCAAGAAGACATTCATTTCTTCTATAAACTTCTATTCAAACACATGGCAATGGCAAACAACAAAACACAATGTTTTACATGCAAGCAAGAAAAAATAACATATCCATGTAAAGGATGTTCAAAAGAATTTTGTTTTACGGACTTAGCAGAACATAAACAAATATTAAATGATGAATTACATCATATCACCAACGAATATAATGAATTTAAACAAATAATTAATAAACGAAAACAAAATCCGCAAATTCATTCATTAATAAAACAAATTGATGAATGGGAGACAAATTCAATTGACATAGTTCAACAAAAAGCACAAAAATGTAGAAAATTTGTCCTTGAATCATCAGAAACATGTATTAATGATATTGAAATGAAATTTAATAATTTAAGTGAACAAGTAAAACAAATTTACAAAGAAAATGACTTTAATGAAATAAATTTAAATTATTTAGGAGATCAATTAAGAAAAATTACACAAATATTAAGTAATTCATCTAATATTTCTATTCAACAAAGCTCACAATCATTGATTAGTGAAATTTCGATTATTTCATCAATAAGTAAGTTTCAAGAAATAATTTCTAGAAGAATGATTTTTATTTTTTATGAACTTATGCTAAAAAATTATAAAAACAAAGTAAAGTGACGACGAAGAAGATAGAAACATTTGAAAATACTATTGATTCATTTACTAATTAAATCCATAATAATACTATTCATTGAAATAGAAAATTCCGTTTATTTGTATGTAAAAAAAAGAATGATTTATGTTTTTATTTCAATAAAATTTGTCTTTTCATTAATTATTTTTTCTGAACATCTCATTGAAAATTCAACTTTGACAAAAACGCAATCAAAATGTCAATGAAAATCAATCTTCTGTTCTTTTCCTTTGATAAAAAACAAATTTTCATCTTCTCCTCCTTCTTTTCATAAGAATCTTTTGTTCTCATCATTTTCTAGAACTAAAACTCAACAGATGGAAACAAAATGCCATCACTGTGGCTGGTGGAAATGGAAAAGGACAACAACTAAATCAACTCATTCATCTGTTAGGAATTTTTGTTGGTAAAAACAAAAATATTTTTATTGCTGATTGTCATAATCATCGTATTGTGGAATGGAAATATAATGCAAAAGAAGGACAAATTATTGCAGGTGGAAATGGACAAGGAAATCGAATGGATCAATTGAATCATCCAACAGATGTGATTGTTGATCAACAAAATCATTCGATCATTATTGCTGATCGTGATAACAGACGAGTGATTCAATGGTTGAATCAAAATCAACAAATTCTCATTCAAAATATTGACTGTGTGGGCTTGGGAATGGATAAACATGGATTTCTTTATGTTTCTGATAGGAAGAGGAATGAAGTGAGACGATGGTTAATGGGAGAGTATAATAATGAAGGAATTGTAGTGGCAGGTGGAAATGGACAAGGAAATCAACTTAATCAACTTAATATTCCTACTTTTATCATTGTTGATGAAGATCAATCTGTTTATGTATCAGATCAAGCGAATCATCGTGTGATGAAATGGAGAAAAGGTGCAAAACAAGGAACAGTCGTGGCTGGAGGAAATGGTCAAGGAGCAAATCTCAATCAATTGTCTTTACCTCACGGAGTAATTGTTGATGATTTGAGTCGAATCTATGTGGCAGATTGGAGGAATGATCGAGTAATGCGTTGGTGTGAAGGAAAAGAAGAAGGTGAAATTGTTGTTGGTGGAAATGGTGGAGGAAATCAATTGAATCATCTCGGTGGTTTATTTTTTGATGATGAAGAAAATCTTTATGTTGCTGATCTGGAAAATCATCGAATTGAAAAATATGAAATAATTTTGTGAGCGAAATTTTCACTTTGAAAAAAGAATGAACTGTTTTTATAAGAAAAAATGGAGAAATATATTTTGATTTTTTTCCAAACTAAATTTAATTTGATAATTTTGATTAAAAACTCTCATAAATAAATGTAAAAATCCTCATCGTTTGTTGATTTTTGTCGAATTTGATGAAAAAAAAGAAAAGAAAATGTTCTGTATTTTGAATTGAATTGAAATAAAAATTATTCGGAAAGAAGATTTTATGTTTAGTAAAATTCTACTTGAATATTTTTATTTAGTGAAAATAATCAAATATTTTTTGTTGTTTTGATTTGTTAAAATCTGCAAATTTCTTCAAAATTGAAGAAGATAGAAATATGTTATGAAAACTTGATAATAAAAATTGAATTGAAAAATGATTTATTGGAAATGACTAACTACAAAACAAACGGTGGCAATTTTTAATTTTTAAAAATTCAAAAATCTATTGTAACATCTCGTAACATAAAAGCAAAGATACATCAAGATGAGTTTTCTAGGTGTGGGTGTGAGTATGTACATTTTCGTTATACCACACCCACACGCGTCATATAATCCACATATTCTTTCAGAAGTACTTTCGGTTTCTTCTCTTCGTATCAACATAATTCAAATCATCAAAATTATTTTTCTTATTTGCAATGTTTCATAGAATATAGAATACATATGTACAAATTGCCTGGGATTTGTGTCGATTGTTGTCTGCGTGTTGAACAACTAGTAGAAACCAGTTATACTTCTGTAAATTGCAAAATCTTTTCGAATCGAAGCATATGATCGGCATGTTTATGTATGCCTATAATCCGATGAAATATTTTCATACTTTGAGAATTTCTTGTTAGAACTTTTTTACAATATAGTGTATTTAGTATAGGAAATGTGATTAACATAATTATAAGCGATCTAAATCAAACTACAAAAGCTGTGATTTAAGGGAATTAGTTCAATTGATAGTTAAGTCTCTTTTTTTTACTTGTTATGGATGACTGGATCATTAATTGTTGCTGTCTGATTTTGTACCCTTACTTGCATAATTCTATTTCTTCGTCGTATACACTTAGTTTGACATGTGGCTATTATATTGATGAATTCATTTCGATAAGGTTTTGATACGAACAAAAATAAATAAAATGGAGCCACACTAAGCATATAGAGTACGAATTGAGCGAGAAAAGTCATAAATGATTCAATTTCAAGTCGTTGAGCACTTTTATTAACAACATAATATGTTGCTACTCCATAGATGAGATTAGCTGAATAAGGAACTGCTGTAATTATATTCACGGCGACTTCAGCAATGACCATACGTAAAAGATGACGATCTCTATTTCTAGCATGCATTAGAGCAGTATGCCGTTGATGGAGACTACGTATAGTGAGAGCACTGAAAATGATCATTGATGCTGGTGGCAGAACACTATTTGTCATGATTTGATAAAATGCATAAATTAATTTGTATAAACCAAACATTCCACAAGTGTTACTTCGTATATCCATCAAAATAGGTATATGAATGGCGACTAATACACATACTATAAACGTGATCACAATAAGCACTATTGCCACTTTAACTGAACTTAACGATCGAAGTCGAACATCGACTCGTGTTGCAAAGAATCGATCAGCACAAGCACACACCAGAATATAGCGAAAGTATAACCCAAGAACAACACTGCCATAAAGTCTTGTTTTACAGTAGAGTACCGATTCTTTTTGAAGATCAGGATAATGAAGTGTATACAGTTGTGGGCTTACAGTCCAAATTAAATATAGAAGAGCACAAATTGAGAAAGAAAAATGATACACAGAACTAGGTGAGCGCCGATATAATGGTCGTGTAAACATGATACAATTGCAAATATTACCAATGAGACCAAGTGCAAAATAGATGCTCATACCATAACGAATCATTTCTTGTTGTACGAAAGGTAGATTTGTTGTCGCCATTTTTCTTTGAAAATATCTGATTGAAAAAAAGGAAATCTAAAATTTTTTTATAGATACCGGATGAGGAATCATCTTGCGGGTATTGTTGTTCAGGAGTATAGGAAATCGTTGATCTCTCATTTAAAAGAAATGTCACTAATATTGGTAATTATGTAAAGTAGGTTTATATCCTACGATTTGTTTTGTTTCTTCAATGAGCTTTCCATTTTTTTTATCTGGATCGTTTATATACGATGCTCCTGAAACGAACTCAATTTAGATGTAGATGACGCTTCTAGAATATCTTCTTTGAAAAGGAGAAACGAGACATATTACATAGTCATCAGCCGATGAAATAAAGTTATAAAAACGTCGGATGTTTTCTCACTCGGTAGAGGATTTTAACGACTGTTTAATAATAACTTTCGATTTGAAAAAGTTTTGCCTCAACTGATATATCGTGATGCATTTCTGTTATACTAATGTTTACTGACTTATTTTTATAAAAAAAAATGGGCGGAACTGAAATAGAAAAGATAAATTAATAAAGATTATTAATGAAAGAAGACGTGTACACTGTTCACCATAGTATAAACGTCTTAAATGTTAGTTTTGTAAAATTAAAGATTATTTTATTTAATCTCTTTTGTTAGAAAGTCATGAACATTGGCATATACTTAGATAAATTAACAAAACAAAATAGAAAGATAGAGAAAAGTTCTTAAAATGACACAGGCAGTTTAACAAAAACTCAAATTAAAGCAATGATCTGTTGAAAAAGGTATTGCATTTCATAAAGTATGACTATTATATATACAAAAAAGTGGTCCATAGATCTTGGGTGCTCTTTCTCTCTAACAACATATACAAGAAAGTTTAAACTCTAATATATAATCCCTTTTGACATGAAGAGTATTATCCTGAGTTTCTATCTCTCTCTCTATCTCTAAAAATAAGGAAGATATCTAAGTTGACGTGTCAGAAAAATATTTTGTGGATTTTTTTTCTCGCAGAGAAGAAAGAATTTAGTAGAAATAGATTGTTTGCTTGCTTAATTACTTTTATGTCCATAGAGTCAAAAAAACATCAAAGACCGATTTTCCAGAAAACACATTTTTTGAGGTACTTCGATGTGGAGACTTCAAATGTGCGCTTCCTTTGGTCAGACTACTGACGAGGAGGGGAAGCGGTGAATTGGAAAACTAACGTCGATTGATAGAAACCGAGTTTTTAGGTAATCAATTTCTATCGGTATTCAAATATTGTGGCGGTCATAACTATTGGCTTTTTTTGCGTATAAGATTATTTCACTAGTTAAAATTAAAATTTGAAATTCTACTAAGATGTTATACTGGAAATATGTGATTTCTTCTGCAGTAAAAGATAGACCCTTATAAAGATGATGCAATACGTAGAACGAAAAGATATAGAAAAAGAAAGGGTGTGGGTGTGTGTATCATATTTATATAGTATCCACGCCCCATTCCACACTCACATCCATTCCCACCCACACCCACGCCATTTCTCTATAGTACATGATTTAAATCTGAAAATTTTATCTAATGAAGAGTAACTATAGGGGAATATTCTCTGCAAGTTTCAAGTAAATTGATTGAACTTTCACTGAATTATGAATTTTTTAGTGTAATTGAGCGGTTTTGCCCAAATCCATGTTTTTAGTCAAATGACTATAACTCTACAATGACTCGATGAAATTCAATAAAAATTTTACCAACGACAGTCAAAGTATAGGGCTATCTAATGAAAAACACCGTGACCCTATAAGTCATTCCGTTCTTGATTTATGAGGTCTACAATAATATACACTATTTTCTCTATAACTCCCTTATACTAAATGTGATCGAGACGTCGGTTCTGTCGCTGAACTACATTCATTGAGTACTATGTACATACAAAGTTTCAGATGAACAGTACTTGTAACGGCTGAGATACAGTAGGGAAGTTACTTTTATCCAGTACTGCATATATGACATACAACACGAACCATCTTTTTAAGGTGAAACTAACAATAAATACTTAAATAACCTGAGTTTTACCTCCTTTTTTAATAACTCCACATGAAATTTATGCGCTATCTTAATTTTTTATCGCCAGAAATAGGATCGACAGAGAAGGCTTTTAGAAATCTTGAGGGTGTATGTGGATGTGTGTATCATATTTATATCGTATCTACATCCCACACCCACACCCACACCCATAATCAATAATATGAGAATGAATATAAATCCATTGTCTAATATTCATATACATAAATTATTCTTTATTTTACTTTTGATTAGATAATGATTATCTGTTCGTTTTTACTCTTTTAATGAATATGAATAAATATTTAGTATTTTATAATTATTTCTATTTAATATGTGAGAATTATAATAGGCAAGGTAAAATTTAGAAAAAATTATAGGAACTATATTTGAAATGTAATCTTTTAGAAATCAGTCGCTTACGATAATGATTTCACTAAAACAATTAGGATAAGTATTGGAAATGAGATTTGAATTCTACAGTGAATGTTGGGTTTCTTCTTGAAACAGAAATGCTAAGTTATTGACAAAATGTTTTATTCAATTCGTTAATTCTGTCTTTTCAGACCTATTTATTCTTCTACGTAGTTATTTTTAGACATTAACAAATGGTTCATTTCGTATGTGTCATATTTTTTGATTCATCCAATATCTTTTCTGATATATTTATACTCCTTTCTTCAGCATACTGTTTTCATCAAAACTGATTCATTTTTAAACAGCTTTCGGTTTCTTATATTGTTGTTTTTATTTGCTCGCAACAAACTCTGTTATGAATCGATAAGAACGAGCAAAAGAGACAAACAAGAATTACTTTGTGCAAATACGTACGAATACAAAGGGCACAGATAAGCATCGTGCATATAAAATATTTCTTTTCGCTTAATTCACTCATTTTTCATCTTTTTAAACAACTCTTTCCAAATGTTTTGTTAGTCCTCGCCTTGTCTTCTAAAGTAGGTTGATTTTATTCGATCATAATTTCATGTTTATATCTGATAATATTATTATTCATGTTGTGCACAAAAATATTCTTATTAGTTACACAGAGATATTATTCACGTATTTATGTGGATAAGGTAGTAAATAAATTGATATTGGTGAAAATAAGTAGCATGGATTAACGCGATCCACTAGGTCTCTTGACTGTACGAGTTCTGCAGACAAACATGCAAACACATAGTCGTTCAAGGGGTTCAGACCCTGACTACAGTCAAGGGAACATTAGGTTGTTAAGAGTATATCGAAGAGGACTCTCGCAAATATTTAATCGGCATGGACAATACAAACTTTCACCCGTATAATAATGGGCAAAACCATAACTCAAATATCCTGTAGACAAATAAGTAAACTCTTAGTCAATTTCAGGATTAAGACGCTGACTACAGCCAAGGGAATAATGTGTAGGCCATTTAAACAATAACAGCATATTAGGATGTGGGTGTATGATTAATACAAAATCTACACCCAGACCCGATCCCATTTAATTAATTAATTATAACATATTATTCTTTTGATTTACATTAAAGTTTGAAAAAACTCACATGAAAATATCATAAATGAATGAAATAATAACAACACAGAAAATGTTACCTTCTTTTTTTGACTCTAAAAAACAGAATTTATTCGACAATTATATATAGATTGAACACATAATATTTGACAACTCTATGCTATTTTTAGTTTCTTGAATTAACATGGCCGCTGCTGTTCTACCAAATGATGATTTTCACACAAACACCGATGATAAGTCTCTGGAAATATTCTCTCTTATCTGGCTCGATGCAAATGTAGACGTTAAAAACACTCGAGACACAGAAGTAAAATTACGTTCTATTATTAACCATATCAAGAAATTTAAAGATGTAAAACAATGTCAACATTATATCGAACAAAGATCACAAAAAGATCGATTAATACTTATTGTTAGTGGCCGACTAGGACAAGAAATAGTACCCTTTGTACACCAATTTCGACAAGTTATATCAATTTATGTTTATTGTATACATCAGAAGAATCACGAACAATGGGCTTTCAAATTTTCGAAAGTAAAACTATGCTAAAAGGTTGTTATTTCATTTTATTAATTTTTCTACAGATAAAATCTGTTGTTGTTGCTCTTGATGAACTTGTCTCTCAAATTACAGCAGACCATAAAATTCAGAAAAAAGTAGAAGAACCATTATCAATCAATATTTTCACAACAAATGTTGATGCAGGTAAATCAACAACAGGAGTTACTGGACAGTTTATTTTTTCTCAAATACTTATTGATTGTCTTCTACGATTAAAATCTAATGAAATTGACAAAAATGAATTTATTAATCTTTGTCAGAATGAATATGAAGGAAATTATACTGAACTAAACAATCTTCATGAATTTCAAGAAGATTATTCACCTGATAAAGTATTATGGTGGTATACAAAAGAAACATTCTTTTATAAAACTCTAAATGCAGCTTTACGTACACAAAATATTCATATGATATTTTTATTTCGTGCATTTATTTATGATATTTATCGTCAATTGGAAAAATATCAATCTAAGCGTCGTTTGCAAGTTTATCGAAGTCAACTAATGTCGATCGATGAGTTAGATGGTCTCAAAAATAATATTAATCAGTTCATTTCTATAAATTCAATGTTTTCCACTAGTAAACAGCGCACAACAGCTCTCTTCTATTTGGGTGATATAACTACACAGATTGATTCAGAACGAGTATTATTTGAAATTGATGCTGATCCTAAGATAGTCACTACAAAACCATTTGCTAATATTAGTAAACATAGTCATTTTCCAGATGAATCAGAAGTTCTTTTCATGATTGGTTCTATTTTTCGTCTCAATAGTATTGATCGTAATGATGATCAAATATGGATCATTAAAATGACTTTATGTAATGATGATGAACATGATTTAAAACAAGTTCTTATGTATATGAAACAACAAATTGAAAATGAAGAAACAAATCTTCAAACATTAGGAAAATTATTATGCGAAATGGGTGAATTTGATTTAGCCGAAAAATATTTGACTCGTTTGTTGAACCAACTTCCATCGAATGACCCATTGCATATCAGTTTATATGAAGACCTTGCTAAACTCGCATCACAGAGACGTAAACTTAATATGAGTATAGAATGGCGTCAAAAATTACTTATATTCAAAGAGGAAAATCCATTATCTACCAATGTTAGTGTTAATGAAACAAACAATACTATTGGTAAATTTATTCGTCAAAAACTATTCGCATTCAAAAAGCCACAACAATTAACTATCAATGCCAACATTGATAAAACAAAAGATTCTATCGGTAAGCTTACTGAAAAAAAAATTCTTATTTTGAATCAAATATCCTAAATATCAAATTGAACATTTTGTCGACTAGAAATTGTTTTTTAAAAGTCCAAAAAGAAGAAACACGCTAAAAGGCATAAACAATTTCATCGAGATATTCTATCTTTTGTTAATCAATCGATTATTTTAATTAAATGGTAGAAATTGTTTACGTTAGAATCAAATCGGAGAATAAATATGAAATATCATTTTTTCTCTTCAAATTTCTGCATCTTTCTAAATCATTGCATTAATATCTATCGAGTCAAAGATCTTCTTATTTAATAATATATCCTGTATGAGAATGCAAATATTATTCGTTCTTTTGTGAAGCACGAACTAAAAGGAGTATTGAAGTGTTTAAGGGCAGAAATTTGGACCCACTTCCCCTCCCCCCACTGGCGTGACCGTCAAAAAACCACAGACGTAACCGATAAGATATCATAGTGCTTTATATAGGGTGTGGGTGTAGACATAGGTGAGCAACGATTACAATATATACACTCACACAGCTGTTAAAACGCTTATTAAGCGAATATATCATATGTAAACTATTGCTTTCTGATATTCCTGTACCTTTACACCATAGAATGACGCAAAACCCGCTTCATAAAGATACGATTAAACTATCTTCGTGAAGGTAGAAATAACAGTTACATCATGTTTCACATTTTAATCCCGCTAGGGATTACGCTAACAGCTTTTATTTTTTCAAAAGAATTTTATTTTGAATAAAACGGGAATTTTCTTTTGAGACAGAATTTCAATATGATATACTTTTATTGGCGAAAATAAAATGTATTTTTTAATTAAAATATTCTAAGGGCCCGCTCCTTAGGAACGAATTCCCTCTTATCATGGTCCGTTTGAGCTGAAATTTTCAAGGACGAGTGATCTTGGTGAGATACGGTTCTGGTAAAGATTTCAGCTCGCTAGGTCGTACCAGACCAGATTTGTACCTGCCTCATAAGCGAATTTTGGCCTCCGGGAGAATCGACATAACTCCGTTCCTGGATGAGGTATAGGGCTCGGGGTGGTTTCAAATCGAAGCCCATGCCAGTACGCAACTGTTGTCTGAACAGAATGTTTTTATTCCGTATTGCTAATTTTGTGAAACACGATCTAAAAGGAGTGTTGAAGTGTTTAAGAGTAGAAAACTAATCACGCCCCCTCCCCCCCCCCACAGACCGTGATCGACAGAATTTCAAAAACCATCACAGATCGTGACCGACAGGACTTCGAAGACCATCACAGACCGTTACCGACAAAGCATCGTAGAACGTGACCAGTAGGCCTACAAGGACTATCAGAAATTTTGACAGATGTAACGGTGAAACAACATTAATTACAATAGGTACGCTTCAGAGTTATAAATATAAGCTATGTCTCTCATAAGCAACACCAGTTACATCGTGTTTCACATTTTAATCCCGAAGGGATTGCGCTGAAAGTTTTTTATGAGTATTTTAATAAACATGTCTTAAAATCAGCATAAAAAAGGGTTATCCAACAGCAATAAATCCTATTTTTCTCGAGGCAGGAATCAAATAAAAAAATCCGTTCAGATAAAAGTTTCCTTTCATCGCGACCTTTAAAACAAAAAAAAAAGTATTAATTATTGCTCAAACCGAATCAGAGTTATTTCCATTTTTCTGATTGAAAACCATGTTCTGAGAAAAACGCCAAAGAAGTTTTAGAAATGAACTTTTTTCATTTAAATCCAAAAAAATAATACCAAAATGGAATATTTCCAATATCTTTCATCGGACTTTTTCAAGCGCGTGAAGATTGAGTAAGTTAACGCTATCCATCACTTTCGGGTGACGCACATATTTTTCTACTATTGTATTTTCTGGATATGACGATTTATACGTAAGTAAAGTTAGCGGCATATTCGAGTACTTTTTACCCAAATTCGCCTAGGAATTTGTGCTGGCTCTGGAAATTGTTGTGTTAGGCGCAAATTTTAATTCTCTATCAAGTGGTGTAAATTTGTGTGGGAGTCACCGTGCAAAAACATGGAGTTTTCATAAAAAACCTGAGTTTTTCACCGATTTTTTGTGTACAAAAATATTGTATTTCTTGTCTGAATACGCTCCATGACTTGTGCTGCGTCTAAAAACGGTTGTGTTGGATTCAGAATTAAATTCTCTATCGAGTGATATGATTTTCGACGGGAGCCATCAAGGATGCGGGTTTCGGTAGGGGATCAGGCGGGGATATGGGTGCGGGTGTGGATGCATGTGTGTACTCCTATTGTTATTACGGTGATCCCCACAAAAATTTACACCATTTGATAGAGAACTAAGTTCTGCACCTAATACAACAATTTCTAGAGCCAGCACAAATTCCTAGGCGAATTCAGGCCAAAAGTACTCGAATATGGCGCTAACTTTACTTACGTATTGTTCTGGTAGTATTGAGTATATTATTACTTGCAGTTGAAGCCAGTCACGTTCTCGTACAAAAGTGGAAAACACGGAAAGTAAACAAACAATTCCAGGGTGATATCAATTTACCAATTGATCAAAAATATTTGAAAAAAAAACACATTTATGGTGGTAAAGTTTCTTCGTATGAACTCGATGAAACCAATCCATTTCATTCGCTGTTTGCTCGGTTCGTAAAAACCTGGATGGGACCTCAAAAGAATGGTTTTGAAATAGAAAGGCTGGAGATCGTAAAAAATCGTGACAAATTCAATCATTTCCGTCAACAAATTGAAATTGTTGAAAGTCGTCAAGCTCAATCGGTGTTTCAACCAGTGTTCGATTATGAATCAAATCCTGAAGAACGACAAAAAGTATTGAAACGATTAGATGGTTTATGTGAACAAGTGACACATAGTAGAAAAGCAAATATTGTTCGAGTATGGCATGGTTGTAATAAAAAACTATTACCACAGCTGCTGGGTGAAGGCTTTGCTTCATTAGGACAACTTGATGAGGGTTGGTTTGGTAAAGGCATATATTTTTCATCAAGTGCTGAATATGCATCACGTTACTGTCCACAAAATGAAAATGCATGTCTATTAATGTGTTATGTATTAGTTCTAAATCCATTTCCTGTCATTTATGATGATGCACCAAAAAATGTTAAACCAGATAAATTTCGATTTTATGGACGTGGTAATCATCGTACTTTCCAATGTCATTATATACCAGTTGCTCCAGTTTCTCGTGAAAAGTCTATAATAGATTTTCGTCCACCACTCGAGGGTACAGATCATGCAGACTATGATGAACTAGTTGTTTTTGAAAGTGCAAATATATTGCCACAAATTGTTGTTCATCTGAAAATACCGGGACTTCTATCACCGGAAATACAGTCCGTACCGGCTTTTATAGATGCACCTATACCGAGTAAACGCAAGGATTGTAGTCAAAATCATCCTTCATTCGATCAAGATCGATTTATCGCATCTCCTGCTCAAGATCAATTCGAAATGAATATAATTAACGTATCAGTAGGTAATCGTGGTGATAACGATGGTTTTGATCGTCGGCGGCGAGACGATCGTGATGCTGATGATGATTTTGATCGTCGTCGACAAGATGATGGCAGATACAACTCTGATTGATATTCGTTTCCAAATAAAAGAGACTTTTCGATTTTCAAAATAACCTTCGATAAGAACAAGATGTAGATCTAGGATTTTTACCACGCGATGGAGAAGAGGGTGTGGGTATGCGTGAGGAAATGGTATGAAAAGGGGTTGATAAACGCTGAGCACAAGGAACGATGAGCACAGGAAAGTTAAGCGCAAATAAAATAAAAAAGCCTGATCTCTTATAAAAGATCAATCTGGGGTGTGTGTGGGTGTGAGTGGGATTTGTGTAGATGTATGTATTAATTACCAAAAAATATAATATTTAAAGTCACCCCGCCCACATCGACCCAAATTCACACTCACCTCCACACCCACACACAAGATGATCAACTTGAGGGTGTCAGTTTTTGTGCAAATATTATAACCATTTATCTACATACACAAGCACACTCACAAAACAGCTGCATATTATGTATTGCAGAGTTTTCCAACAACTAATTATCACTTCTTTTCTTTATTTTTAACAATTCAACTCTGATAGAATGAGCTAATATTTTCACACATATACTAGTAGTTATCAAGTCAATGTTTGCATATATCAGTACGAGTACATAATATTTTGTAATATAATTATATACTGAACACTCTACTACTAATATAAATTTGAGACGAATCGGAACATATTGACTCGAGATATCGACTACATAAGCATAGTAGCAATGATCATGTGTCTCACTTCAAGAGGTCTAGAAAAGCAAATCATCATAGGGTATTGAATAACTCACGAAGGTTCAATGTGTGAACTTATATACTCGATTAAAAAGCAATCTAACACTTGCAAATATTCCCTCATGAGATAAAATTCTAAAATAGTAAAGAAACAAATAAATATTGATGTCGTAACATTAGATGAAAAGAAGTTTTATCCACAGTATTTTCTCCAACGTTTTTTACCATTTACATATAAATTCTAGTTGATTGATGATTTCACAATAAAAGCTATAGTCATATGGTTTATTTTAATTTGTATAAAGTGATGCTTGGTATTGTATTTATAATATTTAGTTTACTTCTAAACATCTCATATAAATAAGTAGTCAGAGCAATAAATGGATAGATCAAATAAATTAAATAACGAAATAAATACATATCATCAATTTGTACTTGTAAAATGAATACTGTGTTTCAGTATAAATTTATTAATCTTCAGGGTGGGTGTGGATTTTAAGTGAGTGAATGATATTGAATTGACGCTCACACTTGTCTATGCTGATGGCAACACCCACTACACCAGCATCCATCTTCAAAATGTAATCATACCGACAACTTTATCCACATTCACCGAAACCTTGAAGAATTTAACGTATAACAAACACTGTCTGGAAGGAAAAAGGTGAGCTGATAAGAGTTATTGCTTTCACATCTGCTGTTAGAAAAAGAATCTTTTAATATAATAAAATGTATACTTTTTAGCGGTTATCAACATCTTCACCTGAGTTTATCAAATTAGTAACAGTCGCTGTATATGAAAATACGGTTATTATCATCGACACCGTCGCTTACCCTACCAGCAATAACTACTGCATATGAAACTACCGTTATTATCATCGAGACAGCGGCTGTTGTAAACACATGCAGCCGATGTATATAAAACTGCGGTAGCAGAAGACCGCTCCGAAGCGCGGCCTTTAAATCACTAGATGGTTTATCATATAGAAAGCGCAGTCAACAGCGATTTTACTCAAACTTTTTCCATGGGTAAAATGGCAAATCGATAGTTTATCTGATACCCCACCTTGCAGTATTTTATGAATGTACCTTGGAGAAAATTTACTTACTAATAGTGGTTCTTCTCATTATGGTAACTATATATTTTGGCCAACTGATATATTTATCCATTTCTTTTTTATTACACACCGAAGTGAACTAGTCGCGATGACGGTACATACAGAAAGATTGATTTACATACCGTGTGCATTACATGTAGACTATAGTCCCTTTGTACTTCAACGTCAATAATGACCAATAAGTAATACGAGCGTTTTTAAATCTCGTTTAAAAGGGAAATCATTCGTTACAGCAATTCATTCGTATTCAAGATATAAATATTCAGGAATTGGGATTGTTAGTTCAGCATACGATGAATCGGCAGGGTGTGGGGTGTAAAGTATGGATGGGTATGGATATTTTCACAGTCTCAAATCCATACCACATTATCCCGCACCCTTTCAGTTCAAATCGATAGTTATGAGAAAAGCCGATGGTGCACTTTTTCTTCTTTTATAGGGAAATACACCATCTTAGTATGATCTCGCAAACATTTCATTTTTAAAATATTTGTTTTTATTGTAGATAATATACAGCTATTAATTTGGTCGAGTTTCAACGGTTGTTGAAGATTATTTTGTAGACTGATTAATTAATTAATCTAGTAAGCATCAAGAATGATAGTTGACATATTACATACCTTATCGTAACAGAAGTATTGACAGATGGAAAAACTTGAATCTAGGATTTGAAAACTCAAATTCTCCTTATTATTTATTTTGAGCATTTCATAACTGTTGGAATTCAATATACTTCATCAGAGTCGCTTTATTTTGTTGAAAATATGGATGAGAATGAAGAGAACACACTTACCTTTCATTGTATATGTGTCCCAATTGTTTAGCTCTTTCCTCACTCATGACAGCAATACTAGTTAGAAATATTTTGAAATATAACTGTATAGGATATATTGATTATAACCAGTCATAACTTCTATTTTATAGAATGTCGAATTTTTATCGCACTTACTTAGTGTTAATAGTACAACTTCTACTGTTAATACAATCAACTCAAACTTGGGAAAACTATAACACAAAATTACAATTGAAGTCATCTCAAGAAGTAGGACAAATTAGTAATGCTTCAATATCAGTAAACACATCGGTTCCACTAGTTAAGACTATAACGGAGAACTTAGATACCACTACCAGTAATGATACAGATTGGCTGATTGGATTTCTAGAAACAAATGAAACAACAGGTAACGTTGTCCGAGTATTAGCCTAAGATATTGATATCGGATGTGCAGCGGTATATTTATAACTTTTAAAATATTGAACACAAATCAAATAAACCGATTGTGACAGTTGGACAGCGATGGATTGACGAAAAGCTATTGAACCACGATGTTCTGCAAGAACGAAGAGAGTCGATCATGACTGTTAGAAAAAATGCCACCGTAGGATTGAGAGATAAGTAAAAAACCATTTGCAACAAAGCCACTAAGGGTATTAACTTGTTTTTTTTCTTGTTATCGAAAATTCATGAAAATCTGTTTGTTTTCCATCGATCATAAATTAAAATGTATCGCATGTATTACACTTTATAATATAAATTATAACCTATTAAAGCATGACACGAGACTTTCGTTGTGACACAAAAGTATAATATAACACGAAAGCGAGAAAGTACTGTTATTACGATCAATAAAAATATGAGAAAGTTATTTTTATTAATAACAAAATATAACACTGAATTATAACCCGTAGTACTGAAATTTGTCCTACAAGTTAAACACTTTGCGATAGTCCTTTGATTTTTGAAGCGTTATATTGATAATAAACTCAAGTCTATATATACAGATTTCAGTGTTGATATCCGGAGGGAAAAAGACTCTTTGTTGAATTATTAGTAATTTCATCTTACTCTTACACTAAGAGTAAGACTGATGTTTGCAGATTGTTACAACCATTGCCATAGCAATCGTATATCAGGATAAATTCAATTAATACATAACTGCAACGGACTATTGTTCTCCAAATACTAATTGTATGTATCTAGACAACTTTTCCTATTATTTAAATAATGTTTTACCATATATATTTTTCTTTCTAAATTAAAATAACAGATTTTTTTTCATTTAATTAGAACCCCTCCCTCTCCCTACTACGACAATAACATACACAACAACCACAACAGACTCAATATCCACAACAACCACAACAGACT